ACAAACCCAAACCCCCCCCCCCCCCCCCAAAAAAAAAATCACTGGGAAAAAAATCTGTTGGGGGTGGGGGGGAAGAGGCGGAAAGAGACCAAAGTTGTTGAGGGGGAAGAAAAAAGAAAAAAAAGGGGACTTAAGAAAAACAATTTTTTGTCACGTTTAAGAGTAAGTGCAGAGATAGGAACGGGGGAGCAGTTAAGCACTAAGACACCCCCCTCCCCCAGGTCTTTTGGCCGGCACCCATTTCGTGCCAGCAGCCTTGGGGAACCAGGTAAGCATGGGGGTTGGGGGATTGCGGGTGGTGGAGTTTGGGGGGAGGGGAGGCCGGGTGCTAATTGTTTGTAGGGTTGCCAGGTGCCCGGCATTTTCACCTCCTGTCCGGGGAAAAAAAATCAGAAAATATCGAACATCTTAGGTGTCCAGTATTCTCTGAAATTTTTACCGGACAGGAGGTGAAAATACAGGACTGTCTGGGTGAATACCAGACACCTGGCAACCCTAAGTGGACCCATCTAGTATAGATATAGCCTGCTAATCCAGTCACAGAACAAAAACAAAGACCATTGCAGGGATGGTGCTGAGGGGAAGTGGCTTTTAAGCCGGCTCTCTCCTCCCCTCCCCAAACTTTTGTTTCCCCTCTCCCTTCCTTGCTGCCTCTGTATCAGGCCCCCAAACAGGCCCCTGGCCTCCTGGGAAGGTCCCCGAAGCCAATCCCAATCCCTTGAGCAGCGCCTTCCCCCCACCCACCACATGTCCCTGGTTGCCAAAATAGGCCCCAATTCCCCTCCCACCATGCAGCAGGTCTGCACCCCTCCCCTCCCACATGGCCTCAACCCCCTACTCTCAGCTGCCTCCTCACCACGCAGCCTCAGCTGGCTCCGGCCCGGAGCAACCACCTGCCGCGCCACTCACTTCCACTTGGCACCTTAGTGGGAACTATGTTGCCAAGTAATTTTTTTAAAACCATTGTTTAAAAAAAAATAAGAGCACAACAAAAACCTGTACAACTTCATCAAAAAAATCTGTCAAATACATGCACACAATGCAAACTAAAAATCAATGGATACTGAAGGTATATTCAGGAAACCAACATTTATCTCCTGAAGTCTAAATTATACCTTATAAATACCTTCTACCATATATATCACAAGTCAGTTTCAAATGCAGCCCCATGCAACTGATAGTATGAGTACTTAAGAGCACAACAGCTGTTGAAGGCCCTGAAATAAAATCTTGCCAAAAATCTCATTCACTTTTCACATTCCTGTTAACTGGAACTAATGGAGCCTTTGTTTCAGAATCAGACCAAATTTTTCTGAGGCAGAGGCAGACTGTGGGTGAGATTTATATCCCATTTCCCAAGGGATTACAAGCATCTCTGCTCTAATCACACTACAGTATACCTACAGGATAAAACATACCAAGATGAGTTCAAACATCTTGCCTCTCCCCCATGTCCATAAATGCTGTTTTTGTATGCAGAGGTATGCACTTTTAACAACATATTTAAGGAATACCACAGATACATTGCTAACCAAATGCTGGCTTGTTTGCTTTCTAGATAAACTATTACTGCTTTTTTCATGGTCTTTTACTCTAAGTATTTATCAGAAGAATTCCAGGTGGTCTGCCAATGGGTAGGGGGAGTAATGTGAGCAATTGTCCTGTAGCAGTGACTGGAGCCCTGGTCCCATTACACTGCTGCCAGCATGCTATGCTACACACAGAGGAGTGCTAAGGGCTGAGCAGTAGGAGCAGAGTGCCACACTTCCAAGCTGCCCTCAACCTCCCCCCGCTTTCCACAGTCAGCTCTGCACGTTCCATAAGCAGGGAGCTAGCCCCACCCTCTCCTTGCCCGGAGGCCAGCAAAGGCTGTTGAGCCTACTGAATTCCAGCATAGAAATAGTTTTATTTTTCATGTCCAAAATTAAGCACAACTGGTAGCTGAAGCAGTGTTAAGTTTTTTGAATAGATATTATTTCTTACTTAAATAAAAGATATTTTATTCATTCTTGCTCTTCAGAGAGCTTAAAATCTATAGTGAATTATAGAACAAAGTTAAGTGTACTCTCTCAAACTCCTACTGTTTTAGTGGGGAAAATGGCTCTGACAAAACACTGAATGCCCACTAGGAAGTGCTCAATTGACTCAGCTCCTTGTAAAGTCACTGAGAATTAAGATACCCATCTTCTGGCAGGGGATATGCAATATTTTGTAGGATCCAGTCCTACTTCAGTCTCCAAGCAACTGTATATAGTTGCACATGTAAGTTGAAAAAAAAAAAAACCTAAAAACAAAGCAGAATATCTTCAGAATAAAATGTATATTTGAATTGCATTGTTATTTGATTGCTTGAAATACTTAAAATAGACAGCTTTGAAATTTGGCTCGAAGACCTATCTTCTATCACCCAACTTTTTGTCCACTGAAGGTCAAAGTTCATCATTAAGAGTGACAATAAAGAAAGTGGACTTTTTTTTTTGAAACCACCACACACACACTCACTCGCCCACTACACATACTCTCCCTGTCAAAAATAAAAATCAATGGAAATTGTATTTTTTCCCCACCAAAATTCCAAACTCAGAGAATTCTATTAGAGCGCTTAGACTTTCCCTAACAGCTCTAATAGAATTCCATAATTCCATGAGTTTGGAACTTTGATGGAAAAACAATAAAATTTCCATTGATTTTTATTTTTGACAGGGAGAGTATGTGTAATGGGTGAGTGAGGTTTTGTTTAAAACAATGAAACAAAACACAAAAACAAAAAACCCCAAGACTACTTCCTATATTCTGATGAAATTTTATTTTTTTCCCCATCAAAATTCCAAACAGAGAATTTCTCTAACAACTCTAATAAATAAGCATAGGTTGGGGGTAGGGGACAGTTTGTTTGGGTTTAGCATTTAAGCTAAACACACTAATATTGTATGGCAAAGCTTGGCTTTTTCCCCTAGTCATTTCAATATGATGAAGAACTACAGGGGCAGAGAGGTGGTTTGAGAGGGAGGGATTTTAATTTTTCAATTTCCTGGCTCATCGGCCATGGATTATCTTACACTATAATGCATCATTTTAAAATATGTCATTTAAAAGTACACGTCAAAGATACCTGAGAATATGGATAGCCACCATTTTAGATATACCTATAAAACGAACACCTTCTCAGGTAACTGAACTATGCACATATTTTTAATATTGGTTTATCTCTGTCCTGACATCAAGAATGGTATTCGTTTGCTGTTTGCTCCTTAAAGATTTCACAAGAAACATAAGCATTCTACGACAGAAAATTACAGTGGTGAATGACCACAGAGTTTTAACAGCACCAGAGCTATTTAACTTGCCATTACAAAGGCTTCCCCTGTACATTACCACTGCATTTTTTATTGAGGAGGAAAAAAAGTTTTTCATTTTCTCCTTAAACTGCTCAGAGGTACATGAGATAATGAGACATGCATAAATATACAGATATACAAAATAAATTTTGAAAAACACAGCCCTAAAAACATGTGACAGCACATCTATGCTTCTTTTATTGAAATGCAGATCTGAATACTCAACACAGAAATCTAGTGTTATCTTACCTGAAGTGTTTGACTAAACCGCTTTAATGGGGTTGCCCGCACAGGAGGAATGAGGCTTGCTAGTGATGTAACCCTAGATAGAGGCTTGACCCGTTTGTTGCTAGGCTCCTGTAATTAAAAAAAAAAAAAAGTAGGGGTATGTTAAAGTCATCAGAAAAACATTTATGCTAATTGTTAATTTTTTAATGTGAGCAAAACAGACACACAGCTATGGTAGTAAACAAATAATTCAAGTCTGTAATGATGACAATGACAGATTGTCCTTGCTCCTCGCCTACAGATCTGAGACATGGCTGAAACATCATATAGTAGGCAGAAGTAGTGGCATCACTGAGAAAGACAGAAAGAAGCTCTCTCCATATATAGTAAGTATTCTTTTACTAAGATACTCCTTTTAAAATGGTTTGTTTTGAGGGTGGAGGAAGTGCCCCTCAAACTGAAAAATGCTTTGCTGCTTATGCATATTATGATGACCTTGTCATTGAAGGGAACATGTACAAATACAAAAAGTTCAAGCTTCATGGTTTTTTTCCTCTGTCCTTGAAAGTATGTAGTTCTGCATTTTGTTAACATGCTATACTGAAAAGTACAAATTAAAACAAAACAATTTGTGCCGTATTTATATTTACATGTAAATATGAATATAGGTGAATAATCATATAGATGTTTACAAAATACATTTAAATGAAATAAGACCACTTTTCAACAACAACCTACTGTAAAAACAGTTTTCTTCCCTCACACACTTAGGCTTCTAGAATGCCTGCTTTTTATGAAGACATTACAGTATTCCATTTGTTTTGCATACAAAAAATGAAAATGTTCGCAATAACTGCAATACAAGGAAAGATTATTATAAATATGTAAAAACAGGAAAAAAAAAGTTACCCTTGTCTTGCTAATCTCCATCTGACATTTAATGGATCTTGAACAGCACAAGGAAAATGCTACCTTTGATAGAAACAGAGCCAGACCTTCCAAACGAAGTAAAAAACCCATCCAACATCATATTTTAAGTACATCCTACAGCAGTTCATCTTTCCTTTTCAGCCATGTTCATAAAGTTTGTGTAGGCATCCTAGCCTACAGTTTTCTAGACAAATCCTTAGGAGAATGTACCATGTCATCCATACTATCTTTTTGCTCACAGGTATGAATCCTTTTAGAGATGGAAATTTACCATCCTTCCTGGTATTTAGAAAAATCCCAGAAGTAGTAACTCACGATTTTCATTACTGGTCACCATTATTCTGTTTCATTAGCACAGCTACACAGACGAAAAAGGAGAATCAGCAAACACTGAAATTTATTTCTCAGCAGGCAGAGTTGGAACTCCATAAACACCTCCTGAAATGCAGGACCAAAATGCCCCCGCAACCTGTATTAAAAATAATCCATTTCCCCACACATGGAATGTGATGCTAAAATCATTTTAGCACCTCCCCCTAAACATCAGTCTGTATTCTTATCTTCATCATGAAGGTGCCATTCAGAGTCTTTCCTTTCCAGCAATCATCTCTTTGACACAGCTTTTTTGAAGGAGCACTTTTTTCTTTTTTTAACATCACTGCAGCATGACTGGCATAATGAACACACCACAGAGAGTCTTTCAGCTTCGACTGTAATTCTCCTCTCACTGGTGCCTCCGTGATCAGCGGTATTGTTTATTTTTGAAATTCATATTGACAATCCACTAGCCTCTCATGATAGAGACTGTTTGTCATTAATCACACTGCACTGCAGTGAGAGTACACAGAAGTCCCAAGGCAAACCGAGTGCTACAGAGGCTACTTAGGCATATACTATCTCTAATATTACTGGAATCTGTTATTTAGAACTATGCAAACGAAAGAATTAGGATAGCAAAAAAGAAAACATATCTTCCTAGAAATTAGGCAGAGGGAACCCTTGAGAGAGGATTCTCCTCTCCCTATTACTGTATCATATTCTACAAGCTTTAGGGGGTAGCCGAGTTAGTCCCTAGAAGTTGCACTTTATAGATGAATGGAGTAAAGGGGTTGGGCCCACAAAAGCTGATGATACCATCAACATGTTTTGTTAGTCGATAAAATGCTACCAGACCATGTGTTGTTCTTTAAGTTTATTTTCTACAAGGTTTGGCATAGTTTCTGCTCTGAATGTGGTCTTAGGTCAAACTGGAATTATGTTTCTGATATACTGACCTAAAGTCAGCTCTGGTGTAAAGTGATGTAATTTGGCCCCACACTGCATCATAGTGTAACCTGCTTGAAAGTTAGAATATCAGATTTCAATTAAAATCTATTAGAAGCCTTTATAATCTTTGTGCATATTAACAAATAACTCTTTCAATCTCAAAATTTAAATCCAACACATAATGAATACTAACAAATATTTTAGCAATGATATTGTAAGGCCCATTGAGAATTCTTAAGTAGGGTTGGCAACAATGTTCCTTCTAAATTTTTCCATCTATGTGCGGAATAAACGTTATGTGCACTGAGGCATGTGCAGATGTGCATCAACAGTAGACACACGCTGCTGGCTGTGGGTGCTCTGCTAGTCAGCTGGGCACCATTTGAATTTTTCCTGGGTGGCTGCCCAAATGCTCAGCTTTCAGGGAACACTGGTTGCCAAGTGTCTGGTTCAATGTTCCTTCTAAATTTTTCCATCTATGTGCGGAATAAACGTTATGTGCACTGAGGCATGTGCAGATGTGCATCAACAGTAGACACACGCTGCTGGCTGTGGGTGCTCTGCTAGTCAGCTGGGCACCATTTGAATTTTTCCTGGGTGGCTGCCCAAATGCTCAGCTTTCAGGGAACACTGGTTGCCAAGTGTCTGGTTTTCGACTTAGTGGCTTTGGGAGGGTTGTTAAAAATCTGCTTGGCAGTGCAGTGGGGGCCAGAGACTAAGACTGGTTCCCTACCTGCCGTGGCTCTGTACATCTCCCATAAACAGCCACCAGGTCCTTTCAGCCTCTATACAGTGAGTCTCTGCATACTGCCTTCATCCCAAATGGAAGAAACATCAATGTGAGCTATGAAGATGGTGCATGCAAGCATTAGGGCAATACTCTGGTGACTGCTTCTTCCTGGTAGCAGTCATAAGCACTGCCAGGTCCCTCACCCTGAATCCTCTCCAGCACCACAAGCCCCTACACCTGCCCAGAATCTCCTCCCATACCCAAATTCTGTCTCAGAGCCTGCATATAACCCCCACCACTCATACACACAACCCCTTGACCAGCCGAGCCCCATCCTGCACCACAAACATCTCATCCCCATTCTCACATCCCAGTCCATGCTCAATAGCTGGAGCCCTCACCTCCTGTCTGCACACCAACTCCCTGCCCCAACCTGGAGCCTTCACCTCTCCCTCCCACCACCTCAACCTGGCAGAGTGAGAGAGAGTGGGAGAAAACAAGTAAATTCTTATTCTTTTGTGTCTCTTTAGTGTCTTCTAGAGGACCATTGGGATTCCCTCCTTCAGGAATGTCTGAAACTAGTTGATAGAAAAAAATGTCAAGACCCACTTTGAATACTCAGTGTTTGCATGCACGTGCAGTTTATTAATGGCTATACAAAGCCTGCAGGTAAAGGGCTCATGATTTTCTCAACTCCCTGGGATTCATAAACCTGAAAACACCGTGTAAATTGATACGCAGCAACAAGTAAACTTGGAGAAGATTATCCAGTGAAAAAGAAAAAAAAATCCTGTTTCGTTTGGAAGATGGGGGGGAGGGGAGAAAAAAAGAGAAAAAGTGTAAATGAATTAAAGGTACCCCCTGTTCCTTCCCTAAACTGTCCTCACACTATCCGAAAACTTCCCCTTCTTCCACGTGGGGCTGCAGGAGTTATTTTACAGTTCCAGCAAGAGCAGAGGGAAGACCTAGAAACATGTTCTTTAACCTTTTAAAAATAAACCATTTCACTATTCTGCAGGGGATTGTGAGGACTGCTATTGGAAATCTGTGTTCTTACACTCAAACTGCTTAAGGAGACAACATTTTCATTAGTCTCTACTGCAGAGCCTAACTGCAGCAGATGTTAAGAAGAAGAAATCAATCTAGCTGTTTCTGCTAGGGGCTGCTTCAACCAAAGGAGGACAGGATAGGACTACAGCTGCTAGCTGTAAGAGAGACAGACATTGTCAGAACCTCTAACAGTCACCAGAGTCAAAATAAACTGACTAGGTCACATATATGTGGGTTTGTTCTTTGAAGTCTTATTCCTCCCAATATATGGATCCATTTTACCTACCACACTGAATTCATTTATTTCTTATATCAAACCAGATTAAACCAAATAGGCGACAGATTTTTATCACAATCACTGGAAGCTATAGAACGGAAAGAAGTCATACAAACAAGTTTAAGAATAAAATCAAACTGAATTACTCTGAGTCCTGGAAACACTACAGATCTATTTTAAGAATTAATACTGCAGTGTCAGAGACCCTGGAAAATAAATACAGGGTATCCATCTACATATTAGAGTTAAAGAAGGAATTGCTTTGAACCTTCTTGAAAACAAGTTTTTTTGCATACTAGTTGACAATTTGGGACTATGTCTGGGACAAATTATGAATGCCATGTTGCTCCTTGTTGGTTTTTTTGTTATGAGAATGTCATTTATGACTATAAACTTCATTGCAACTTTCACTTTGCTTTGTAACCTCCATGCTGGTTCAAGACAGGTAGGTAGTGATAAAAACCAATATTCTCTCTAATCTTTTCCATCCACATGTGGAATCCTTTTTTATGTATAGAGAGGCATGTGTACCACTAGTAGAAACAAACAAACAAAAAATCTAGCTATGCGTGCTCTGCTGGATAGCACACGAATCTCGCCTGAGTAGCCACACAAATGTACAGTTTACAGAGGATACTGGTAAAAACTCATCTAATTACAGTCAAATTCTGGGCAGTGTGTGCTCATGCTAGGGAGGGAGGTCAGCCGAGGCTGGTTCAGATATATCACCACATTGAGAGGAACAAACAAACAAGTTAGAACAGAGGAGATAAGTTCCCTAGAAATATGAAACTTCGCTTCTTTACAGTAATGGTCTAATGGTACTGTATCATACCGCATAGCTTTTGCTTTAAACACAACACACTCCCTCTAAAA